ATCGTACCATACACACCATATTACATAGTTGACAGTAGCTCTTTAACTTGCCAGACACAGCATCAGAGGAAGGGGGTTCCATCTTTATTACTTAGTCCAAACTATAAAACTGTATCAGTTGCTCCAAGATACTACCAAGCCAAGATGCTTCTCCTGATTCAGCTTCAGGACTGCTGTTGGTAATCCTGAATTATCATCTTGATCCTTGCCATGGTCCTGGTAGCCTTGCAGTTTATTTGAGAGATCTGGTCCTGCCGGCATCCATCTTGCTCAGACCACCATCTTCTCTTGGTTGAATCTGAACCACCTAGATAGAAGAGGTGAGAGAATGGTGGAAAGTGTTTATGTCCTTCTTCATCAGTGCAAAATACAGCCTCTTTTAAATGAGGCTGGACAACCACAGCTGGAGTGCTAAAGCACATGCTTTTCATCTACATTTGTATGAGCACATTTTATACAAATTGGTTTCTTCTTTTTATTATTATTCATTTCTTCTTCGGAGTGATGCATAAGTGGCCAGTCTATCTGATACATTGGTGGGAGTTAACTCCATGTTGTTTTTAAGTTGATGTGAATCAACCCCCAGGATGCAGGGAGGGAGGGGTTCAACCCAATTGCAGTGCAGACAACAGGGATGTCAAAACTTGTAGCTCCAACTAAGTTTCTGATCTCACTTTCAAGCCTGTCAAAGGCTCAGCTTTGCCTGTATGTTTACACACACACACACACACGCACACACCTCAGAGAGCTGTGCTCATTTCCCCAGCACTTTTGGAGGAGAATAGCAGGAAGAGAATGCCAGCCACTGAACCGACTGTGAACGTCATCCTGAAATGCATCCTCCAAGTATTGACGATAAATTACGGGGCTTCAGCAGTGCTACAAATCCTGTGCTTCAACATGTCCAAAAGGAACTATTATGCTCCCAACCTAGTATAAAATAATCACAGTAAAATAGGTGGACTTGTCAAGTGGTTAAAAGATAACACTGAAATACACAGCACTCGGTTTGCGACGGAGCCATCAAAGGCAGTAAATAATGGTGGAGAAAACAGCAAACTGGGCCAAAACATTGTTATTGTTGTGGAAATCATCTGCCTCTCAATGGCTCCAACCAGATCCAATAGCAAGAATCAAAGGCAGTCCAAGGGCTACAAAGAACCTGAAGTTTGTAGGTTCCAAACTTGTAGTTCACATCTCTAGTTTTTTTATCCATTGTCTTCATCATGAACACCATTGTTATTGTTATTGTTGTTCCTCTTATTATGCATAGTGTTTTGTAGAGCTTCATAATCAAAGCAAATAGGCCACAATGTCATGAACCCAGTCCTGAATAGCAGTCAGGATTCTGGTACAGAGAAGGAGGAACTAATTCGATCTGAAATACCAACATCTCCATGATTTTATTACTGGATCAGGACTCAGACCCGAAGACTGACCCATAAACCTGGGGTCCTTTTGAACCATAGCACCACCCCAAACTAGGACACCACAAAACAGCACTCCCTCTGCTTTAGTTTGTGGGTCTCATCCTGTCTGCTCATCAGTGCAAATAATGCACAAACTAGGAGCTGTCTCAGAGGTGATAGGATGCTAGGATGCAGGCCAGAGGACTGCCCCCAAAGTGGGGGTTGGAGAGCTGTGGTCCTCCAGATGTGGCTGGACTCCAAAACTCATTCTCCCTAGTTAGCATGGTCAGTGGTCAGGAATACCAACAGTTGCAGTCCAACAGCACCTGGAGGGTCATAGATGCCTTCAAGGTTCTTTGCTGTTTAGAAAGGACATAGAGTTGGGTGTATGGTCTATCTCAGGGTGGATAAAAGACACTGGCCAAGCACTACATCTCATCAGAGCAGACTGCCTGCATGGAGCTATCCATGGTCCTGCAGCTCCAGCCAAACATCACCTGTCTGACTAAGCCAGCTTCAGGCACCCAAAATTCTCTGTGGACTCCCTCTCATGACCTAGAGAAGGGGAATGCTCTACAGAGAGTTCTGAGGGCCAGAAAGAGAGGCCTGGAGGACCTTGTTTGGCCCAAGGCTCTCTATTCCTGATCAAGATTTTGATGACCCACCAGCCACAAGAAGCATGGTGCAGGATGTCACAAATGCCCAAAGAATAAAGGGAGCAAGTTTGACAAAATGCTGAAAAATCAAATCAGTAATGATGAAGTGCTTCCTGGACTTTTATTACAGAATGATGGAGAAATTGTGTTTCCGAACCAAAAAGGAAAGCAAAGAAGAAGAAAAAGAGTCATTCTGGCAGTATTTTCAACAAATCTTCAAGGTTCATTTACAGTGCAAAAGCCTGGCGGCCCTGGAGATCTGACAAGGAGGAACAAAAAGTTTTCAGGCTCATCTTCCCATAAAATTACAAAGTCACCCTTTCCATAATCAATAGCCATAAATCTCTCTTATGCACTTCACAGCCTTCGTTCATCTATACCGAACCAACTGCCAGCAGGAAAAGAAAAGAAACAAGGGCATCCCCATCAGATATTAGCCCTCTTCCAGAGGTGGGCAGCACATGGCGCTTGGCCTAAATGCATGCTGGGGCAGGGAAGCAAGAAGGAAAGTGGTGGCAGAAAGAGAGGTCAGCAGTACTCATGCTACAATCTGTGGAAGGCAGGAGTGAGCTGCCTGCCCTTTTTCTTACCCACAGTACCTCCATGCAGCAATGCTCCACAGCACTGTTGGAAATTAAAAATGGCTCACTGCTCTTTGTCACTGAAGCTTACATAAGACAGAGCCCAGAGAGTGTGCTCCTGGGTGAAACTGGGCCAAGAGCAGACATCAGCACTAGTGGATCCAAGGACAGCAGGTGGTGATGTCAACCCTACTCTGCAGGCTCAGATCAAGACAGAAACATAATATATGGCTTGGGCCCAGGTCACCTGAAAGGTCCTTTTATGAACCTGCCCAGGTTCTAGGATCCTCAAATGAGCACCTTCTCTTGGTCCCATAAACAACAGCAGCATGGTTGGTGGTAACACAAGAGAAGGAGCCTTTTTTTGTGGCTACTCCCAGATTGTGGAAGCAGAGGGACTAGACTGACTCCCTCTTTGTTATTCTTCCACCAGCAGACTAAGACCTTCTTCGTCAGAAAGGCCTGTGAAAACTGATGCTGATCACTGGACTGCTATCAGGACAAACTGTATTTCAGCTGCTAGATCTAATTGTGTTTTGAATATTTTAATTAATGTTTTAAACTAGTTCTTATCACTTACTGTTCTATAATGATGTTTTTAAATATTGGCAGCTGCCTTCAGTATGAACTTGGGAGAAAGGCGGGATAGAAATACTAATAATAATAATAATAATAATAATAATAATCCAACTTCCTTGGAAATTCTAAATCTGAGAGAATACATTGTTGTTTCCTTGTGATAAATCAGGCATCCCTAATTCGCTCATCTAACCATCTGGGCAAGACTCCTGTGGAATGTGTTCATCAGTATATTTACTGCAGAGATATTCTAATTAGATGGCGTGGTAATCTCCCATTACTTTGAATCAGATCAGATGGTCCACTGATATATCAGCAAAGCCAACTCAGATTGGGAAGTGGGTCACACCAATATATCCTTCATCACATGACTCCCTTAATCTGATGCAATTTGTTTTACACAGATATGGGGGCATCCTCATCTCATCACCAAACACTTCTCAAATGGAGAATGTTTTCATAACAGAATCTTAACCTCACAGCATATGCCAACAACACTGTTGTTCTGATCTCTGTTTTTTGTATATTCAATTCTATTTACCAGCTTAATTTTTTAAAAAATGGATGGAAGAGAGGCAGTGTATTGTGTATGTGAAACTTTTCCCAATGGCTGTTTGTTGAAAACCTTCCTTTCCAGCTGATGGAAATAGCCCTCAATGTAAAGCTGGTTACAATGAGAACAATATCGGCCAATCTGCATTTTACTCAGTGTGTGAAAGCCTGTATACATTGAAGATGTTGAGATAATTGTAGTTCATCAGTTGCACATCTGTAAAAATGTTTGGCAAGCAATGTCAGTAAATGGGCAAGTCATCAATCTCACAATATTCTCTACAGCAGTGATATCCCACTTTAGAATGAGTATGGTATAATGGTTAAAGCAGGTCTCCCCCAACCTGGTGCTCTCCATTTGTGTTGAGATGCCTGTGATACCTCAGCCAGACCTGATGTCACCTCATAGTCCAAGCTTTGCATAAATAATGCTTATGTCAGTATTTCCCAATATGGTGCCTTGTCAGTGTTTTAGACCACAACTCCCATCATAGCTGACTATTGGCCATGCAATGGGAGCTGATGGATGTTGGTCAAAGCACCATGTTGGGGAAGGTTGGTATGCGTGATTGGCTAGGATGAAGCTGTCAATTATAGTGTTGAGGAGCAGGTCTGCCATTCCAAAGACCACTTCAAGAAACTTATTGGCACAGTGAACTATCTTGTCTTTCTGAAATGCATAAGATATTGTCAGTATAGCAAAACAGATATGATAAACTTACATAATTTTCCCCTTGCCAATAAGCAATGAGAAAAATGTTTGCCTGCAATTTAATTAAAATCCAGTAGTGCCAAAGTATCCAGAACTTAAGCTTCCCTTCTACCAGTCTTTGCAAATTGGAAATTATATTCAAAACAGAACAAAAATAATATATAAAACATCTACTGGTTCTGAGAAATTGTTAATCTTCACAACAACAAAAATGGCAGTGCTCTAAAACAGATAAATTCTATCAGAATTAATAACACCAATATATGTTTCATAAAAATGATATTGGAAAACTAATTTAAATTAATTTTATTGGTAGAGAAATGGAATCAGGTGCATAAACGTGGGTCAACAAACTGATAAGCGCACCACTGAAAAAAATCTTTGTTATGAAATACATTATCTCTGGCATTACACACTGGAAAGATCATCCCAAAAAAATCTACCAGTGTCCAAATTCTGTTGTAAATGTATTAGGAGAAAAGGGCACTTTTGTCCACATGTGATGGGAATGCTTTGTAATTAAAGAACTCTCCTATACTGTTAGAGAGATAAGAGGAGGCAGTTTCCAAATGTACAATGTAGAAAGGATGTTGGGTCATGTGAAATACCCGTTTTGAAGTGACAGGATTGTTTTAGTATCTCATTTCCTGATAGCTGTGCAAGGATAATTACAAAAATGTGGAGAAGCATTGAACTAATTGTTTATAGCTGGTAATTATAATGATTAAAGCTCTGACAATTGATCAGCGCTTAAGGTAGACCTGGGATATTATGGTACCAATTAAAGTTACCAGCTGTAAACAATTACGGAAGCAGGAAATTAAGACCAAAGTGACTTTTCAACAGAAGTGGGACACCATTTATTGTGTGATGGAATCAAAAGATTCGTCATGAAATTGTTTGGTTCAATATTGTACTGATTCAATTCAAGAGGCCATAGTGCCAGATGACATATTTCTCAGGTGTTGACTGCAGTAGGATTGGGAACCTCTAGCTGACAGACTGGTTGGCAGTACTGGCATTGTGCATTTCTACTTCCACAGTGTTTTCGAAAAATGAAAAGGCTTTGGATCATAGAAGAGGGCAAGGCTACTTCTTTTGGCAAAGCACAAGTTGCCAATGTGCGCTCCTGAGACTTTTTGTGGGCAGGAAGAGGGGAGAAATTACGTTCAGTTTGCATTTAAAAGCAAAGCTGCACTTTCCAAAACAACACATAAACTGAAGCACACACATCCTTCGAAATCTGCACTTGTCCGAATTTTGCAATGCAGTTCGCCAGCCAAGCAACTTGTACAGCATGCATCCAGTAGGGTGAATTGTGCATCAAAATGCATATGTTCCTGAAAATAACATACCAAAATGCATTATATTAGGAGAAATTACTCTGCCAAAAATGTGCATATTGGGCAAAAGTGCATACCAAAAAAAAAATACATAGATTAGGAGAAAATTGCACTAAAACGCTGATGGATTTTGCCATGGACATATAAATTAAAAAACACTGCAAACTAATATGGAAACTCTGCAAACTAATAGGGAGTTCAGCTGATAACTGAGAGAAACTGAATTTGACAAATTTGCCCATCCAACGAGGCAGATCTTCCTGCCGCTCCCATTGGGCATCATTCCTGCCTCAGCCTTTGCCATCTGCAATTTTGGCCAATACATCTAGTGCTGTCTCATCACCAGGAGGGACCAACCTAAAGGGCAGTACTGAAGGAATGCTGTCTGTGTATAATTTCAATTTAAGGCTAGGTGCTCCTTAAGAAGGGACACGGGTGGCGCTGCAGGTTAAACCACTGTGCTGTTTGGGCTTGCTGATCGGAAGGTTGGCGGTTTGAATCCCTGCAACAGGGTGAGCACCCATTGTTAGGTCCCAGCTCCTGCCAACCTAGCAGTTCAAAAGCACAGTGCAAGTAGATAAATAGGCATCACCCTGGTGGGAAGGTAAACAGCATTTCCGTGCGCTGCTCTGGTTCTCCAGAAGCAGCTTAGTCGTGCTGGCCACATGACCCAACAAAACTGTCTGTGGAAGCAGACAAATGCCGGCTCCCTTGGCCTGTAAAGCGAGATGAGTGCCGCAACCCCAGAGTCGTTTGCAACTGGACTTAATTATTAGTGGCCCCTTTACCTTTACCTTTACCTGCTCCTTAACAATTAAGAGAAGGATGCAACTCTTGCTTGCATGGTGCTCAGTGATTTGTACATCAGACTCCCCATTCACATATTGGAGCTACTGCATCAGGATGCAAATGTTGGTCAGATTTTTATACAGCTTGTATAACTGTTGCCTGCCATTTAGAAAGCAGAAACAAAGATTACCAGCTCCCCAGAGAGCTCTTTGCTTGAAGATCAAAGGACTAAAACCTAGATAATCATCTTTACTTTTATTCCAATTATGGAATGGCATTCCATCTTGCTGGTTTACCAAAATGCAATGGCATGGCCTTCTACAGCTTGTTATTTGCATTTTATATCTCACCCCCACCTCTCCACATGTCAGCATGATGTATTTAATCTAAGACCTTTTTTCTTTAGATAGAAATCCAAGCCAGCATGGTTAATAGTCAGGGATGGAATCATAGAATTGTAGAGGAGGACGAAACCCCAAAGGACATCTAGTCCAACCCCCGCAATGAAAGAATCACAGATAAAGAATCCCTCGCAGGTGGCCATCCAGCCTCTATTTAAAAACCTCCGGTAAAGTAGAATCTACCAGCTTTCAAGGTAGTCCATTACCCTGTCAATTCTTATTGTCAGAAAGTTCTTCCTAATGCTTACATACATACATCATACATCATTTTAGTTGTATGCCCCCTTTCCATAGTAAAAGCATGCTCAAGCAGCTTACAACATGAAAAAATTACATAATTACAAACATAGCAAAAGTAGTAATAAACAATAAATAATCCATAAAAATATATGCAACCAAACTGAAATGATTTCCACATAAATCATAAGATCTAAAATAAAGATATATAAAAAGCTTATATCAATAACAGCAACAACCCCATCACCACCACCAAACAACACCCCCCCAACAGTACCCCAGCCCAAGAGTCTGTGCAGCAGCTTCAGCTTATGTAGCTGGAGCCAGTCAGGGCCTCACCTGGCCAGGTGGGAAAAGGCCTACAAGATATGGAGACCGTCTTTCAGGACTCAAAGCCAAGATGGTTTAGTTGGAATCTCCTTTCTTGTACAGTGGTACCTCTGGTTGTGAATGGGATCCGTTCCGGAGCCCCATTCGTAACATGAGCAGAACACAACCTGCGTCTCCGCGTCTGCGCGTGTGCAGGTTGCGATTCACCGCTTCTGTGCATGCGTGTGACGTCATTCTGAGCATCTGCGTATACGCAAGCGGCGAAACAAGGAAGTAACCCTTTCCGGTACTTCCAGGTCACTGCGGGACGCAACCTGGAAAGACGTAACCTGAGCCGAACGTAACAAGAGGTATGACTGTAATTTGAATCCACTGGTTTAAGTCCTACCATCTGACGACACAGAAAACAAACTAGCTCCATCTTCCACGAGACAGCCCATCATTTATTTGAAGATGGCTATCATCTCTCTTCTCCTGACTAAACATTTTAAATTAATTAATCAGTTAATAGATGGTTGGTCGCTTTATTCTGCCCAGGGCAACCCAAAGCAACTTACAACAAGCCCCCTGGGTAATCTAAAGCAGATTCTTCCTCATATCAAGCCTTCAGTGCAGCCCCCTCAGCATCCTTGACTTGGATACAGCAAATCCCCAACTCTCTCACCAATTCTTCATAAGGTTTGGTTTCCAGACCCTTTATCATCTTGTCCACCCTTCTCTCAGCACTTTAGAACTTGTCATATCCTTCTTAAACTGTGGTGCCCATTACTCCAGGTGGGGCCTGACTAAGGCAGAATAGAGCGGTACTATTAATTCCCTTGATGTAAACACTGAACTTCTGTTGATGCAGCCTAAATTTTTTTTCCTGCTGCATCATACTTTTGACTCAGTTTGGGGGATGATGGGAGATGGAGACCAGCAATGTCTAGAGGGCATTGTGTGGGCTACTCATGAAATCAGACCCTCCATGATGGTGCTCAGGTTGATACACCTTCTCAATGCAGTATCTAGAGTAAAGAATACCTCCTTAAAATACGGAGATTTTCCATATCTAGCTTAGGATATCAACGCAGAAGGTGATTCAATAAGTCCAGGGAAGGGAAGGCACCTTTGACAGGGCCAACCCTTTCATGCAAGGGAACTGCAATAAAAATCTAGATATCATTTTTTTTAAAAGAAAATAACTGTTGATGGTGACTGTCATGGCTAGCAATGTGTGGGGGGGAAAGGCAGTGGGAATGCCTCTTCTCAGATATTGCCTACAGCAGTCATCACCTCTGCTGTGATTCCTGAATTGCAGGAGGTTGGACTATTTGTTTAGAAGATGCTCGTTGCTCCATTTTGATCAGTATTTTCTATACTTACTGGCAGCAGCTCTGCAAGGTTTCAGAAAGAGAGTCTTTCCAAGCCCTACCTGGAGCTGCCATTGGGGATTGAACCTGGGACCTTCTGCATGGCAATCAGGCGCTCTACCACAGACCAACAGGCCTTCCCGTTGATAATTGCAGGAGGACTGAGATGCCATTCAGGCTCCAGACAGCAAAATGTCTTGATCTGGTGCTGTAAACAATACAGTGGTACCTCGGGTTACATACGCTTCAGGTTACAGACTCCGCTAACCCAGAAATAGTACTTCAGGTTAAGAACTTTGCTGCAGGGCGAGAACAGAAATCGTGCTCCGGCAGCGCGGCAGCAGCAGGAGGCCCCATTAGCTAAAGTGGTGCTTCAGGTTAAGAACAGTTTCAGGTTAAGTATGGACCTCCGGAATGAATTAAGTACTTAACCCGAGGTACCACTGTGCATTAAAAATGCAACTCCTTCCACCTGCAATCTGTAGGGGTGCAGTCCAGCAAAGATACCCCCATCTCATACTTCTGCCAGCAGTGCTTCAAGTGCAATGTGCTCTTAATGAACAATTGACAAATCATGTTGCTTTCAGATCAATTTTGGTGTCTTATTAAATTGCGTTAACATTTTCATTTATCAGCACGCAAATGGTTTGCACTTATTTATTTATTTATTTTAAAATATCATAAACAGTGGGTGGGGTAGAAACATCTTTTATTTCTAGATTAAGACATGATGCGCCAACTTTCAGCCTTGAGAAAAATTTTACGAGGCGGTTATAAACCCCTGCTAATAGAGGTTTATAATGGAACTGCTGACACAACCTTATGCACTACTTTAATAAAAAGAGTGAGCACGCAAGTGAGGTCTGGAGTAGGGGATCGACCCATAACTCACGGGAGGCAAAGCATTAAGGGAATTATAAATGTCAGTTCCTTATGATTTTTCTGTATCTCATAAAATAGAATAAAAAACCACCATCTATTCTTCTAATATCTATTTTCCATTTCCTCTTAAATTAATAGAAGAGCTGGCCTGTAATATTGATTTGATTTTTCTAGGGTGTTTTTTTTTAAAAAAAAGCTTAAAAGCTCTCTGTTCTGTAGCTGTTGATTCAGCCCCCCCTCCCAATTGTAAGCTCAGTCTGCTCCTTGACTTACATAGGTTTTCATAACTGCATTCAAATGACTAAAACTGTTTTCTGTTCAAGAAATAACATTATGGAGAAAATGAATTGACCGTGCAATTTGGCATTCTACCAGAAATCATTACATAGCAGAGGTGGGGAAGCTCCCCCCCCCCGTCAAGGTGTTCATTCCCTTCTTACTAAAAGTAGATAGAGAAAAGTTTTTCTCCATCTCTTCTAACTCTAGAACTTGTTGCCATCCAATGAAGCTGAACGTTGGAAGATTCCAGAAAGTTACAATAAATGACTTATTCATAGTTAAACTATGGAACCTAGCTCCCACAGGAGGTAAGTGATAGCCACTAACTTGGATGGTTTTAAAAGAAAATGGGACAAATTCATGAATGCTAAGGCTATCAATGGCTACTATTCTGTGGAACAACCCTGTGTTTCCGGAGGTGTCTGTTCATCTCCTTCAAATCCAGTTGTTGAAAGACAATGGAGTGCACTTCCAGGGGTGAAGTTAAACCACTGCATTAGCAGCACTGAAGTGACCTCTGCAGGGCGTAAGCCTGGCAGTGTGTATGAAGGTCCTGGGCTCCCTAGATGACAAGTGATCAGTGATCAGTCTCACTGATGTGGTCCAAAGGAAAGCAGAGCAATACGTATGGCACCAGCATGGCTGTAGGAGTTGCTGAAAGGAGGTGGCAAGGCATCATCCAACCGCCTTAGCAACTCCACTGCAGATTTGTCTTTTCTTCCCCAAAAATATCCTGCAAGGCAGAGGGAGTTTGGGTTCAGGGTTTTCCTTCTCCTATCTGGGCTACCTTCCCAGGTTGACGAGCCCCATTTGCCCCTCACTTCCCTCTACAAAAACGTCCAGAAACCATCTTCTTGACGGTTGGACCTGCTATTGGTCTTGTCCGCTCAGTCTGTCTTCGCATGCAGGGGAAGTCCCTAACTCACTGAGTGTTTGAGATCCATCAACTACCCTCACCTGGTTTAGACAGGCAGTCAAAGTCATTCTCAGGATGTGGCTGCTGGCGCATGCTGGCAGCTTCTAAAAACCACAAATGAGAGCTGAGTGCGAGATGGGGAGCAAAGGTGGACAAACTACCCCAGAAGGAGCATGATGTGTCCCCCACCAAAGATACCACCCTTTCCCTAACACCCCATACACCCCAAATCCAGCATGGCCCTGAAATCTCCCTTCTTCTTCTCTGGAACCATGAAGAACATGGAGTAGCAACTACAGTAGTGCTCTCTCAAGGGCACAGGCTCTATAGCATTGGTGGATATCAGGTGCTGAATGGCTACTAGGCCCCTCCCACTTGTTCCACAGGCAGGAGTATGCAAATTAGACAAATCTTACCTCACAGCTGCCAGTTGCCAAGGTAATCCAGCTCAGAAGACCATGGTAAGAAAAATGTGCCGCATCTGATAGATACAATATGTCACCTGAGCAAAATGCAAGAACTGCAACTCTTGAGGAAGAGTTGCGGTAAAAAAACAACAGTTCAGAACTGAAGTAAGGAGAGAGTGTTCCAACACTAGAATGCACTCAATTTTATATATAGATATATAAATATATATAACACACACACATATATACACACACATGCACATGCACATGCACATGCACACACACACAAATTTGACCAATGCATAGCCAATAACCAAAACTAGCCTAGGGTGTGTAAGATCCCCTTCATCCCTTGCAGAAAATGGGATTTCCTGCAGGGGGGAGGGGATCCTTGGATGAAACATCATCAGGGTTCAAGGACATGCTCTACTCAGGCTAAAGCTCTTGGAGGGAGTGCCAGGTGAGGCCAGCAAGGCATGTATGGCATGAAGAGATCCCCCGAGTTCAGAAAGGGATACCTGGAGGCATGTGGTTGAGCTCTGAGACTATGGTTTCTCCTACTTCTTCTGAACCAGTTATTTATTTATAGCTGTATTACCACTTTCTTCCAAGGAGCTCAAGGTAGCATACCTGCTTCTCATTCTTCCCCCACTTTATCCTCTCAACAGCCCTATGAGGTAGGTTTTTGGCTGAGAAACTTAAGGTCACCCAGTGATTCTCATGGTTAAGTAGGGATTTGAACCCTGGTCTCCCAGGTCCTAGTCCAATGTTCTAACCACTACACCACACTGGCTCTCATACTGCTTTAAATGCAGATATTTCTTTTTGAAAATTAAAATGATAAAAGGTAGCCCATCGGCTTCTCCTCCTCAAGGAACTTAATTTCCCCTATTTAAAACGCAGAGCTGGATGAATATGTCAGCATTGAGGGGTAGGAAGGAAGCACCTGAGCTGCTTCTCTGGAGAGAATCCAGTCCCTCCAAGCTGAGGAAGTTAGCCATACCTACTCAGAATTTTTTAAAAAGAAGAAGAAGAAAGAAAATGATACAGAAATGGCATTCATTTTCTCTCAGCATTACAATCCCAATGACTCTGTGCTAACAAATTGCAGATGACGTGATCTGAGGCCCAATTCCACACCTAACAATAACCCCTGCAACTGTCATAAAATCAATCTCTTAGTGTTAATAACAAACACGGCTCTCCCCAGTATTAAAACCACAAGTAATCTTCAGAAATAAGGGCAAATAATACAAAACACTGGAAGTACGGGGGGAGGGGGGAGCATTGCTTATATATCTCACGGAACTGGGATTTGTTGGCTGCACATATTGCTCATTGTCTTTAGAAAACACCATGAGTTTTGGAAGAGTATTAGGAAACACTGTAAATAAGATCTTGACACCCAAACCAAGACAGACGTCATATGTGTGTTTTATAACCTGGGGGAAAAATTAAGGTGGGCGATTGGTGGGGGTGGGCTAGGAAACTTATAATCCTCAGAATTTCTATAGTGGTTACGCCATCCCCATTTTGCCTGACCTCAGTGTTAATGCTTGAACTCACAGCCAGATGACAAAAGGGTCAGTATGAAATTTTTATTAGGGTATTAAACTAAATACGGACTCCCGTTTGCGGGAAGAACCATAAACCCCATTCATGGCACATTATGGGATTCCACCAGAGACCTTCAGTTTAAATCTATTAGGGGGAAGAATATTTATTCCACCTATGTTCTGCCTTTGGGGTAGGGGCAGATTGGTGATAAGGATAGTGTGTGTGTGTGTGTGTGTGTGTGTGTGTGTGTTTATCTGTGATCACTTTCTTGCGACTGCTTTATTTCCAAGTTAAAAAGCCCCAAATAATGTAACATTTCCTCTTAGGGGAGTCAATCCATCCCCTTGGTCATTTTGGTTGCCTTTACCGAAACTTTTCCATGTTCAAAGATATGCTTTTTGAGAAGAGGTGACCAGAACTCTATACCATAACCCTCATGTGGTCATACCATAGATTTCTGAAAAAGAGATTGGCAGTTTTATTTTGATCCTTTCCCTAATAATCCCTAACATGGAATTAGCTTTCCCCCCATAGCTGTGCCATTCCAGTGAACACAGGTCACCCAGCAGTCCATTTGTTGTGGGTCCCATGTTGGCTAGGATTGGAGAACTGGAGGGCCAGGTCCTTAGCTTCCCCATATAGGCCAACTTTGACACGTGGGCATGGCCACAACCAGTCAGCCATCTGGCATCATGATGGCATCAGGTGACTGACAGGTGGGTGGTCACTCTCACCTGTCAAAGTTGAACCATGCCAGGGGAGGGGTCTGCTCTATGCTTTGCAAGTGATGTCAGCTGATGGACAGATGACCATGGTTTGGATGACATGTGCTCACAGGCCAAATTGGCCCCTCTGGTGGACCAAGATTAGCCTGAAGGTTCTCCATCCATGGTGTAGGCTGTGATGTTTGCATGACTCATAGAAGGGACATGGCTCAGTGGTAAAGCATCTGCTTTGCACAGGTTCAATCCCAGATTCAATCCCCGACTTTTTCAGGTAGGGCTTGGGGGAAACCTGTCTGAAATCCTGGGAAGCCACTGCTAGTCAGTGTGTAAACAAACCCAAACTTAGGTCTGACTCAATATAAGGATTCTTCCCATGTTCCTATGGATTCTACTTGTGAGGTTAGGAAATGTTTCAGAGAGACATCCCTGTGAAAAGGGGCTGTTTCCATGTTTTCATGTGGATGCCAATCGGCATCCTGGGAAACTCCTTTCTTTATATTCTATTCAGCTCACGGGATCAGTTGTTGGACGGATGTCACATCCCAATGCATAATTTTAATGTGTTTACATCCACGGTGGAGCTGACTTGAATTGCTAAGTATCTGGACCTCTTGCCTAGGAATTGCTCGCATTTTTGTTCCGCATGTGTCAGTCAGGAACATTGCTGCTGCAAGAACCATTTACTTACGACAGGGGAATTCTACCCATTTGTCTAAGGCCTGGGACCTGAAGCACAGGCCTGGCATGCTCTGAAGGGGTTCCATAATTGCTCCGGCTGTGTGGATCCCCCAAACCCAGACTTCTTTTCTTCCAATTTATAGTCCGTTTATTGTTCTTCCTTGCAGAGGGTGTGCTTACACTGAATGGAAGTCCTTGTACGAGATGAATGGGACCATTTTTTTCCATACACTGGATGATCCTCATGTTGAAAGGGGGCCTCCCCTGCCCTCCCCCGCCCCCAGTATTCAATACTATGTCGGCTTTTCTTTTTGGCTGGTACATTCTGATCCCTTATCCCGAGCTTTCTCAACTCCCCCACTCTTGTTGGCCAAAGTTTCAATCAGCTTCCTGCATCTAAAGAGCAGCCACTTACACCGACTCTTGAATCAGCAATGTTTCCATCCTAGATCGCTTCCGCCATCCTGCCGCTCCCCCCGAATCTGGGATGCAGGCTCAGCCGCCCATCCCACGTTAAGCAAATTACCAGAGTTTGGTGGTTTTTAGTAGAGTTCTGGAGGTTTCTTACAGCCTTATTATAGTGAATTAACAACCCACAGACAGTGATTAAAACCCACTTATAACAAGCTTGCAAGTTATTCTGTGCAAAAGGCAATAAAATCACAGTCATTTGCTTTCCGATGCAAAAAAAAGAGGGGGCGCCAAGGAAATACAGTCACATTAAAACTCTTGTTTTCCCTACACTCAGTGAAAACTTCCATTGTCAACAGTTTTGCCCTCTCTCTATATATATTTTAATAGTTTGCTGCCCGGGTTCCTTATGAAAAGAAGTTAATTGATTTATTTTTGCTTGGCGATGGGAAAGGGGAGTCAGTCCCGAGTCTCAGAGATTAATGTGACCTCCATTCTATAACGTCCAGTGATATTGTTTCATTCATTGCACTTAGGAGGGCACTGAGCGCCTCAGGGAAGAAGGCATTGTCATTCAGAAGTCAATTCTGCTAACCCATTAGGAAAAGCACATTCCGTGGCCCTACAGTCAATCGGTAACTAAAAAAAAAAAACCTATGGGAAAATAGACCTGTTTCACAGTTCACTGCCCCCTGCAATTTGATCAATATTGTTTTTAAATGTGTCTTTTCTGACTTTATCAGTGATGTCTTATTCTGCTGGAAAATAGTTTCATACAAAGAATTATTATTGGGGGGTGGGAGAGAGGAAGTCCACTTAATCCCATAGTATCTCTCAAGGTAATTTACACACAAACAACTTGAGAGTGGGGGTGGGGTGGGAACATCTTGCTTTGCAAAGAAATAATTTCTGCAGCTGCCTTTATAGTAGGCAATGGGGGCTGCTGTCCACTTATAAATGGAAGAGCTATTGAAGGTCATTTAGTCAAACCCCATGCCAGGAAATTCCCTACTTGCAGGATCCCTGATAGGTGGACATTCAGCCTCTTCTTAAAAACCTCTAATGAAAGACAGTCTACCAAGTCCACCACCTCCCACTGCAGTTTGTTCCACCATCAAACCACCAGCACCATCACAAAGCTCTTCCTAATGACTAGTCTAAATCTCATAATTTGAATGTTCAATCCCTACCCTCTGGAGCAGCCTTTCGCAACCTGTGGGTCCCCAGATGTTGTTGAACTACAACTCCCATCATCCCTAGCTAACAGGACCAGTGGTCAGGGATGGTGGGAGTTGTAGTCCAACAACATCTGGGGACCCACAGGTTGAGAACCGCTGCTCTGGAGTAACAGTAGGGTAGTGTTGGCCAAACTTGGGTCTCCAGCTGTTTTGGGACTACAATTCCCATCATCCCTGACCACTGGTCCTGTTAGCTAGGGATGATGGGAGTTGTAGTCCAAAAACAGCTGGAGACCCAAGTTTGGCCAACACTGCAGTAGGGTATAAAACAGTAGGGATTAAAAATAATTTATTCCATCAATCATCTCAGTGCTCTTCAACCTTGGGTCCTCAGATGCTGTTGGACTACAACCTGCATCATCTCCAGTGGTGTCAACTTGAATAAAATATTGGGTGGGGGGCAGATAAGGCCCACTCTACATAATTGATCACATGGCATGGTGCACACACACCAATTGAATGGCAATGCCCATCAACTTGGGGGGGCAGCCCCCTCAAATGTTTCATGGGGAAGCAAAGACTCTTCTACCTCTAGGAGTTGGCTCCTATGATCATCTCTGACCATTGGGAGAAGAAGGGTGATGGGAGTTGTAGTCCAGAAAACATATGAAGACTCATGGTTGAGGAGCACTGATCTGAGTGCTCGTCCTTCAAGATATATGGAGATGGCAATCCCTTCTTAATTTTATCTTTCCCAGGCTAGACAAACACAACTTTGTCAACCTTTCCTCGTTGGATTCAGTCTCTGGGTCCCTCCTCTAGACATGTTCCAGTTTGTCAATATTGTTCACAGGATCATAGGAAACTGCCTTATACTGATTCATTGGTACACCTAGCTCAGTTCTTCACTGATGGGAAGCAGCTATCCAGGGTTCCAGGCTGAGTTATATCCCAGTCCAGAGATGCCAAGGACCGAATTGGAGACCTTCTGCATGCAAAGCAGATGCTCTGCCACTGAGCTATGGCCCTTCCCTGTAAAAATGCAGGAGACAAACATTTAGAACATCCTTCTTAAACTATGGTGCTCATAAGTACTCAGGCCAAATCATAACAAAGTTGTACAGTTGCTTCTTGTTATCTAGACCACATGCTTCTCCTGCTGCAGCCTGGACTCTCATGAGTATTTTCCCTTTTTTAATTGCCATGCCATGCACTTAGTTGCGTTGCATTTAGTTTGCAGGCCACTGAAACCCCTTCTAACCCATTTTTCACATGGACTGCCATCAAGCCAGGTGCTTCTGAATCTTTGTACCTAACTGCAAAAGTTATTCCTACCTAAATGGCCTGTGGTCAGAAATCTTCATTTTTTTGATTTTTTTTTTATGATTTATGGTTTATAGAGCAGAGTTTAAGAGCTTGTAAACTGGATCTACCCAGTCTCTCCACTACTCACTCTGTCTCATTCACAGCTCAGTCAATAAGAGCATGAGACTCTTAATCTCAGGGTTGTGGGTTCGAGCCCCCCGTTGGGTGAAAAAAATCCTGCATTGCAGGGGATTGACTCTTGTGGTCTCCTAAGGTAAAAGTAAAGGGACCCCTGGCCATTAGGTCCAGTCGTGACCGACTCTGGGGTTGCGGCACTCATCTCACTTTATTGGCCAAGGGAGCCGGTGTACAGCTTCCGGGTCATGTGGCCAGCATGACTAAGCCACTTCTGGAGAACCAGAGCAGCGCACGGAAGCACCGTTTACCTTCCCGCCGAAGCGGTACTATTTATCTACTTGCACTTTGATGTGCTTTCGAACTGCTAGGTTGGCAGGAGCAGGGACCTAGCAACAGGAGCTCACCCCATCATGGGGATTCCAACAGCCGACCTTCTGATCGGCAAGTCCTAGGCTCTGTGATTTAACCCACAGCACAGCTCTACAGTTCTACGACTCTATGGATCTACTAGCATTGCTTTAAAAAGTAAAAAATAAAACAACAAAACACACACAGAGAGAGGCCCCATTGGTAAAAAAGAGGTTCCTTCATATTTACAAGGTGGCTTCGAATTGTAAACTTACATGGTTAGAAAAGGTTTCATGGCTGTCCTGTGCAGGAAAAAGGGGAGAGAGCAAGGAAAATGAAGGGCTGGAGCTTGGGAGTTTGGCAGGAAAAAGCACAAAGTGCATTGGCCCCTGTCTGTTAGTCTCAACCCTGCCCTCTATTGGCTGGAGGCATGCAAGGTTGCTTCTGCCCAACAAAGGAAAGGGCTGTAGCTCAACAGCAAAGCATTCGCTTTACATGCAGAAGGTCCCAGGTTCTGTTCCTGGGATCTCCAGGTAGTGCTGGGAAAGATTCCTGCTTTGAAATCCCAGAGAGCCTCTGCCAATCATAGAACACAATACTGAGCAAGATAGACCAATGTTCTGACTCAGAAAAAGGCACCTTCCTGTGTCCTTATGGCTTTGAGGAAAGGCAGAGGCAACTGAGTCTTGCTGAAGTCCCGTGGGTGGGCAGACAACCCAAAGGAAGGCTTCTATTAATTAGAATGCTCTAATTAATAATAAAACAGCGTTATTCAAATATAAAAGCCTTATTGTGCTAAATTAAATATAATTTGTCAGGAGGGTCGTTAATAAAAAAAAAGCAGGGCATAAATAAGTGCTATAATATTTGCTCTATAAAAAGAAGTCTAGCCAAAAGGGCCATTTGACTAATGTATTAAATTCCCCTTGCCTTGCAATTCATTGGAGAGAGGATTTTTATTATTATTATTGTTGGTGTTTAAAATAGACACAGCACATTGGCTATCAGTTACACATAATGGTTAAATATAGGCTATTGATTTTTGAAAAATCACTTAGGCAAGCTGAGAAATATGGTGGTTGTTTTAAAAAAAGAAAGGAATCTGGGAGGGAAGAGAAGAACGTTTTCCTGCTGATCAACTTGCTTTTTATCTATGTGTTGTTTTACTGGTGCTTTATTTTTCTGTTTTAAAAATTAAATGCATCGTTCCATCTGTTGGTTATTAGGCCATGAAAACTGGGACGTTGGTGGTCAGAGAGGATGAATGGTATCCAGCACTACTCATACTCAAAGTAGGCCCATTGAAATGAATGGCAATGGCTAATGTAGGCCCATTAATTTCATTCAGTCTACTCTGAGGAAAGGAGTAAATGGACGCAATCCTTTGCTTGCAATCCTTTGCTTGTCAGTCCTCGCATACCCAGAACAACACCATCCAGGCACAAGAGGGAGGTCTCTGTAGGATTACCCCACCATTTCCTTCCACATTCTTCCCACAAACAACACATCCACCAGTGTTGCTCTCATGGCACCTTTCTTCTAGAAACTGGGGCGGTAGCGGGGGGGGGTGTGTTTGAGGGCATATGACTATAAATTCCCTTCAAGGGAAAAAGGCACATTCAACTCCCTCCTGCCAATGTTAAGGCTGTGCAAAACGTTTTAATAAAAGCATAAATGATATTTAAAAACTTCAGCCTCCATCCTATTTCTGTAAGAAATGTAACAAATTTACATTTATTTATTTTCATTGCCAAAGGGATCCCAGAATAGGAGCCAGTGTGGTGTAGTGGTTAAGAGCGGTAGTCTCGTAATCTGGTGAACCAGGTTCGCTTCCCCCTCCTCCACATGCAGCTGCTGGGTGACCTTGGGCAAGTCACACTTCTTTGAAGTTTCTCAGCCTCACTCACCTCACAGAGTGTTTGTCGTGGGGGAGGAAGGGAAAGGAGATTGTTAGCCGCTTTGAGACTCCTTAGGGTAGTGATAAAGCAGGATATCAAATCCAAACTCTTCTTCTTCTTACATGAAACCCAAGTGTATAATGCACCTTAGAACTGATTTGCTAATTAGCTGAAAATTGCACTTTATTTCAATTGTGTTTAATGAAGATATCTCTAAAGGTACTTTGGTTTGTTTGCAAGCCTGGCTGCAAGATTTGTGGATTTTGGCTTTATCTAATGTTGATGCTTTATCTTAATCCTTTGTTGATGGTTATCTTTATCTTCTGTTGAAGTTTATCTTTTTATTCTTATCTGTGCTGATACTCGCCTTTTTTCCCTTTAAATAAAAAAAGGGAAAAGAAAGGGGGAAAGGAGTAAAAACAGAAAAACCAGTAGTGCAATAAAATCCTATGACTTTTAAATCAAGCACAGAGAGAGAATGGAAAAGCAAATGCAACCAACAAAATAAAAAATCCTGATGCAGCAATCTTCAGAGACTGCACAGGTAAATATATACATCTTGAGCTGGGGCCAGTAACTAGTAAGAGTCTGGGCCAGACATGTCTGAGGAAGAAGGAAATACAGTGGTACCTTGGGTTACAGATGCTTCAGGTTACAGACACTTCAGGTTACAGATTCCGCTAACCCAGAAATAGTACCTTGGGTTAAGAACTTTGCTTCAGGATGAGAACAGAAATCACCAAGCGGTGGCACGGCAGCAGCGGGAGGCCCCATTAGCTAAAGTGGTACCTCAGGTTAAGAACAGTTTCAGGTTACCATAAACTGGACCAGCACAATGTTGTATGATACTTTTTCTCAATGCAAGGTCCTCCCTCTTACAGTCAGAGTTTGTTCAGAGACATTCCCATTGAAAGTACAACAACAGAGATCATTCTGTATGCAACTCAAGGGTTAATCCTATCATCAGTATTTATGTAGTTAATTTCATAAAATTTATACACAACTCACTGCCTCTGTGAATGTTACAGATGTTCTTGCCAGATCTCGTGGAGCACTCAGACTTCCTGCAAGATCTCATGAGAGCGTCCTTACCATGCCCCCGTATTGTTGCGAGCGTGCAAATAAAAAACGCGCAAGACGTGAGTGTACTGTAGCAGATCACATGAAGCCAAATTACACTCCTCACAATATCAAAGAGCCTGTCATCGCTTACCTGGAAAGCCTTTGGCTGTGGAGGTTAGTGCAGTCTTGAATCTTTCACTGGCACTCAGCGAATCGATAGTTTGTCCATGACGAGTCCATAATTGGTCCATATAGATTAAAATTAATGGTACATAATTTAACATTAATTGCACTCTCAGTGCATACTGATTCGCAATCAATTAACACTTACTTCTTAAATTTACCAAGAGTCACTTGGCAATTGTTCCCAGATCCACATGCTTAAAAGCTTCCGTTCAACGTTTGAAAGCTTTGTCATCATAATGAAACACACGAGACCTTTCAACTCCTTTTGACCACCTTGAACATGGTTTTCCATCTGGCTCCCGATGTGACCAAAGGCACATTGTCCAGCCTTCAGGAACTTCAAAGGTGCCAGCTGCCAGGAGCTTGTGATTGATGTATTCCAGGTTGGCTGGCAGGGCCAGGGGGGGGGGTGTCCTGCAAAAAGAAGGATTGTATCATAATGTAGCTGTGAAGGCATAAATCTGTGAACTCTGCTATGACAAAGCTTCCTAACATGATATCTGGAGATGAAGTGAATCAAAATTAGGGTCCTTGATGCTTGTTAAGTTTGATTATTTTTTTAAAATGGGTGCTGAACCACACTCAGCTGCCATTGTAGGGGCCCAAGCATGCCTCAAAAAGGTCTGCAGTCATGGACCCACTTCCATGAGAATAAATCCCATTCAGTTCAATGGGATATTTTAAAAGCCACCTGCCCCCGAAATGAAATGAAACTCCCCTTAGAATTCAGACCATGGTCCCATGGTTTTGTGCTGGCCTGTGAAACTCATCTGGTTTGGAAGTCTAAACTTGCAAGGTAGAGCTAGGGAGGGTATTGACAAAGGCCATAATAGCCACTGTTAGTCCACTCCTGGACTTAAATGTTCTTTTAATTTCTGAGCTGCTCTTATTTATTATTCAGGAGCTGCATCAGGGTAAGACTAGAGGCTCCGCTGACATGGCAAAATGTAATCCTAGCAACTCATTAAAAGATGCCTCAGAGTAAGTTAATATATTTGTGAGACTCAAGCAAAGATACTTCCTGCTGCAGCTAGGACTCGGCCGAAATTTCTCAGAAAAGAGTTTTCCAATAATTTCCTGATTTGTTTTGTTCTGAGGGCCCCCTGCAAGCTGTTAGGGAGTTTCAACCATCACTCAGTCAAATGCCCTCCCAATTTTTCTCTTCATATCCAGTTTAATAGCCAGACAAGATGATGTAGAAGTTAGAGTGTTGGACTTTTACCAGTGCTTTTTTATGGGGGAACACAGGGGTATGCATACCCCTAAATATTTTGTGAATCTTTGTACTTTTGTCCATTTACTGTATTTACTTCTCCCCATTTGAACTGTAAAATGGTGATTTTCTTGAGTCAAAACTAAAGTACCCCTAAACATTTTTTAAGAAAAAAAAGCACTGACTATTATTATTATTGGGTTTGTAGATTTGGAGGAACCCCCCCCCAAAAAAAATATAATCCGTAGAAATTAATAAATGGTAGGATTTTGATTATTTGGGATGTGAAGGGGAAGATACAAGCTGCAGAGGAATTCCTGAGTTAGCCTATGCAAAATGACCGGGGCATACAAGAGAGCTTCCGGTGGAGCGCGATCTTGCTGCA